GGATGTACAAGTCTATGTAGAGGGCAATGACATCCGATCTAGGATGTACAAGTCTATGTAGAGGGCAATGACATCCGATCTAGGATGTACAAGTCTATGTAGAGGGCAATGACATCCGATCTAGGATGTGCAAGTCTATGCAGATAGCAATGTCATTACCCGATTTAGGATATATTACTAATATTAGAGTACAAGTCTATTTAGAGAGCAATGTCATTACCCGATCTAGGATATATATATCAGAGTACAAGTCTATGGAGAGAGCAATGTCATTAACCGATCTAGGATATATATATTAGAGTACAAGTCTATGCAGAGAGCAAAGAGTGGCAGCCATGACAGTGTCCGGTCTATGTTTTCCACCTATTTATAAAAAGCTTATTACATGATCTCTATAGTCCGGTCAAAAATTCGGGGCACAACTTATCCTCAAATATCTTTTCAACGCGGGAATCAATGTCACTCATACTTTGCACAGCAGATTGTATCAATTTGTCTTAACTTAATAATTTTTCCACAACAATCGAGGCTATAATAATATTTTAAAAGTTTTCTTCATATATATAAAATACTACATGTACAAATTCTCTTTCACTTGGAAAATGGAATTGTTCACAGAACTCCCCGCTTCTCACACACATTTTGTAGACGCATATATATGGGTTACGTCACAGTTCACCAATGACACTTTTTAGTGGCAAGACTTGTTACATGTACAAGAAATTCATTTTATAGTGAACGCTTTTCTACACTAAAAGTTATAAAAACATGCGTTCAATATAAACACAAGTTCGCCATTACCAAAAAATGACGGACGTGCTTGTAAAAATACAAGCGAAATTATCCCAGCCGTAAACCTTTTAAAGTTAAACTGTCCCCGTCGTTTTATGCAAGAAAAACTCTGAAATTATGCAAATTGAGCCTAAAAATGTGAAATTATGCGATTCTGTTAATTTTAACAAAGAATGGTAAAGGAAAATAATCAGAAATTATGCAAAAAATTATCAAATTTTGCTAAATTATGCGGGGTGCATAAAACCCCGGGGACAGGTTAAACTTAAAGTCTGTAGAAACCACCCACTGGGATTTTTGATTAATTAGTATTTATAATTGAAGGAATTTTCTAGAATAGAGCTAACACTACAAACAGGTGTAGGCCTACATAAATAAACATTGATTTGTTACGAGACAAATCGCTTCATGTCATTTAGTTTTTTCGTTTTCTTAGTAAGAGTTTTACGGCACTTGCAACACAATAAGGTCATATAAGTGCCGAAGATTAGAGGTGTTACAAGAGAGTAACAAACACAAAAAAGAAAGAGGGGAGATAAAGACGATAGATGTTTGAAAGGAAAGAAGAAGCAGACCACACCAGAGCACCCGCCAACCTACATGTCCCTGTACATTGCAAAAGTTTAAGAGTTTTTAAAAAGTTTCAGTGGAGGTTTAACGGTGCTCGCAACTGCATAAGGTCATAATATGAGCGCCAGAAGATTAGAGGTGTTACAAGAGAGTAACAAGCATAAAAAAAGAAGTAGGGGAGATAAGAGTTCGTGTTCGATAGTAAATGAGATATTTGACGATAAGTTGCGCCACAAATCTTTGACTGCACTAGGGTTCTGAAGCAATATTTTGTCTGTGTTTTTGCGCATGTGTACAGATGACTACTATCTTGTTTGTTTTCTATTGGGAGAGCATCTGCGTGTGGATGTGAGTGTGTGTGAGTGTGTGTGTGTGTGTGTGTGTGTGTGTGTGTGTGTGTGTGTTTGTGAGCGAGTGTGTCTGTCTACTGTCTGTGTTTCTGTGTGAGTGTGTCTGTGCAAGTGTATATGTGTTTTGTGTGTGTGCATATATCTCTGTGTGTGTTTTTGTGTATCTATGCGTTTGTGTGTGTTTCAGTGTGAGTGTGTGTTTGTGTGTGTGTTTCTCTATGATGTGAGTCTGTGCATGTATCTGGGTGTGTGCGTCCGTGTGTGTGTCTGTATATTATATATATGTGTGTGAGTGTGAGTGAGTGTGTGTGTGTGTGAGTGAGTGTGTGAGTGAGTGTGCGTCTGCCTGGTTTTATTCTTCTGATTGTTCCACAATGAATTTCCATATCCTTTCTGATTGAAAAGAAGTTGACAAAAATCTAACAATTAAAAAGGTTTGGAAACGAAAATAGCAGTTGTGTTCTTGATCATACTTGATGAATGTTGATAACAACAACAACAACAGTAATAGCAATAATAATAATAACAGTGATATAGATGATAATGATAATCATTATAATAATAATATTAATGATAACAATAATAATAATAACAACAATAGGCTACTACTACTACTACATGTTCTACTACTACTACAACTACCACCAGTAACACCCTCTTACCACCCACACAGACAGAAACAACAGAGGGAAAGAAAAGTAAAGAAATAGGACCTACCAGTGACACCCTCCTACCACCCACACAGACAGAAACAACAGAGGGAAAGAAAAGTAAAGAAATCGGACCTACCAGTGACACCCTCCTACCACCCACACAGACAGAAACAACAGAGGGAAAGAAAAGTAAAGAAATAGGACCTACCAGTGACACCCTCCTACCACCCACACAGACAGAAACAACAGAGGGAAAGAAAAGTAAAGAAATAGGACCTACCAGTGACACCCTCCTACCACCCATACATACAGAAACAACAGAGGGAAAGAAAAGTAAAGAAATAGGACCTACCAGTGACACCCTCCTACCACCCACACACACGCAAAACTTGAGGTGTACTACCTGTACCAAAAACATTGTTTTTAATCACTGTTTTGGCAAATGGAAATGTTGGGTTGTTGGTTTTTTAAATTCTTTGCAGCAAACCATGATACCTGTTACGTAGGCCTAAAATATAAAATAGCTCTCTGTTCTGTAAAGCTCAACATCTGGATCTATCTTCTGCTCAAACTGGCCAATTTTCATAAAAATCTAACTTAAAAAGGTACAGAGTAAATCTAATTTGATTTTGAAAGAGGTAAAAAAAATTATTTTTTTTTAAAACAAAAAACCCACACACAAAACTGGCAGGCAGCGACTTGGACTTGGAGCTAAGAAGAAGCCGGCAGCGACTAAGTCGTAGAACTGGTCGCTTTTACTTTTACTTTTAAAGACAAGATTAAAGCTAACCCAGATTTTGCTGGGGTTTCCAGAAATCTTGACCTCATACACCAAAATTGGGCATTGCCCTACCTCCTACAGGAATAGAAGGAGAAGTTTGGTTTCATTGGTGTGTAGATTTGTTTGGTTATAGTTATAGAGGAAACTCTCCTCGTCTTTTAAAGAAGCTGAACAAGGGGCAAAAACTTGACCGTCGGTTTTCTCAAAACAGTATTTTTCAAGATAGTCCACTTGTGGTTAAAAGCGACCAGTTCTCCCCATTCAGGAATCAGTCGACCGTCACGAATCTCCTGCGTGCAACAGCAAAGCAACTAACCTCTTCACCACCACAGACACAGGTGGGGGTTCTCGTGGCCTAGAGGTTCAGGTGTTTGCCTCTCATTCAAAGGTTCCGGGTTCGAATTCGAAAAGCGACGGAAAATTCTCTTCTCTGAAATCTCCTTTCCTGCTCTGTAACTACTAACAATGTTCTGTCATTTGCTTCCGTCGTCTCCACTTTCGGCCCCCACCCCTTCACCCACTCCTCTGGGCTTCTGACTCTTTCTGCAGCCTTTCTGCTGCTACTCCTTGGCTCCTTCTTACTGCTGTCTTTCAGCCACACCCCTGATCTTACGGTAGGAAAGATGTACACATAGCCTTCTCGGGCAAAGGCGAAAAATCTCGGATACCCCGTGTGCAAGTTGCGCACGCTAATATAGAAATTTCATGGTGGTTGAAACTAAAATCGAAGAGTGTCGTATTCCATCGAGCATTCCTTCCCTACTCCTACACGCACCTCACTCTCACTACTACTACAGTACTATTACTACTACTACTACTACCACTACCACTACTACTACAGTACTACTACTACTACTACAGTACTACTACTACTACTACTACTACTGCTACTGCTACTACTACTACTACAGTACTACTACTACTACTACTACTACTACTACTACTACTACAGTACTACTACTACTACTACTACTACTACTACTACTACTATACTACTACTACAGTACTACTACTACCCCCCCCCCCCTCATTATTTAACTATGTTGGAAATGAAAGCTTGACATATGAGCTATAGAAGATCTTATTCATTTTGTCTTTTTCTTTGGGCATTATAATGGCATTGACAGAACCAACATTTTTTAACCCTTCATTTATTTAACTATGTTGGAAATGAAAGCTTGACATATGAACATGCTATAGTTTTTATAGATCTTATTCATTTTAAGTCCAAAGAGAGGCATGTAGGTCAATACACTGCCCTCCGTAGATGTTGAAAATGGTGAAACGGTATAGGTTTAACGCCCCTATCAACACTAGTTTAGTATGTTATTTTTAAGAGGCAGGACCTCCGAGTTTAAAGTCCATCTCCGAAAGGACTGGGCCAAAGGGAGAATTCGTGTGCAAAGTGCCTTTCCCAAGGACACAACATCAGACTGAGCTGAGCCCAAGGACACAACATCAGACTGAGCTGAGCCCAAGGACACAACATCAGACTGAGCTGAGCCCAAGGACACAACATCAGACTGAGCTGAGCCCAAGGACACAACATCAGACTGAGCTGAGCCCAAGGACACAACATCAGACTGAGCTGAGCCCAAGGACACAACATCAGACTGAGCTGAGGCTCACACCCCTGAACCTACAATCTCACGGAGCACGGGTCCAGTAGCCTAACCACGAGGCTACCGACGCCGCGAGCCAGATACGGTCCAGCTGGACAAGTTATTGAGGAAAAAACCATCAGCTGACCGTCTACTCAAGGATAAAACCATCAGCCGGACCGTCTACTTAAGGATAAAATCATCAGCTGACCGTCTACTCGAGGGAAAAAACCATCACCTGACCGTCTACTCAAGGAAAAAACCATCAGCCCGACTGTCTACTCTTGTCAAGGATAAAATCTTCTGTCGACAGGAATGGGGAACGGCAGAGGAAGAAGGAGAGACAGGACAGAACATTGGAACAAGTGAAGTGACCACGTCTCAAGTAGATGTGTTTGATGCATGTTGTGAGCGCCGTAAAACCTCTAAAAAAAACTAAAACTTTTGATGCACAATGCACAAAATCAAGAGACATAACTCAAGCGCAGTCGACTGTATTAATTATCATCTTTCATGATCATTCATAGCTTGACTATGTAATCATTGTGCCTTGTTTGAGAAAGAGAAACCAATTTTTGACAACAATTTTACACAAATGTATGTGAACATTGTTCATGTTCATTTTTTAATTCAAGGTAGAGGGATGAGTGATGCTGTGACAAAAGGGACGTAAACCCAGTAATTTTGTAACTAAAGGGATGTAATCCAGGTAATTTTGAGACTAAACTAAACGGATGTAATCCCAGTAATTTTGTGACTAAATTAAACCCAGTAATTTTGTGACTAAAGGGATGTAATCCAGGTAATTGTGTGACTAAACGAACGTAATCCCGGTAATTTTTCTTCCAACAACAATACATTGTCATGTATAATGCTCTATTTTATTAAAAAAATATGTGTTTTTTCACTGGACTTTAACATGAAGAAATAGCGTGTCTCATTATTACTACGCCCATGCAAACATTTGTGCCAATGTGTATTGATTTACCTGCTTTGTATCAATGCAAATAACATACAGGAAAGTTCTATTATAGTAATTTAATAATAATAATAATAATAATAAATAGCATTATGACTAAGGGATGTAGATTCTAGCCTAGGACAAGTGCCATACACTCGCTTACGTTCACTCACCGAGGCCAGGGTCAGGGAATGTACACTTTTTACCTTCTGTGGCCGGAAATATGGCTCTCAAAAGTTGTTTGTTTCCTCTCTGGTTGTAAAACACATAGATCTAGATCTAGATCTAGATTCTAGGATAGGAAGCGAGTGCGAGATAGATCTAGATCTAGAACTCGCCTTTTATGACAGGGCCTAGATCTATCTAGAACTAGATCTAGATTCTAGATCTATTCTATTGATAGACAGAGCACTTGAAAACTCCAAAGCTGACCTCGCCAACATCGCCACGACAATACAGGTCCAGTCTAGATTCTAGTAGATATAGTGGCCAGCTTTATCCCTTGGTAGCCATAGGGAAAAGACAGTGAGACCAACGATCAACAACAAGATCTAGACCTAGACTAGATCTAGATTCTCGATCTATTTAGACTAGTGAAAAGTGAGAAGTTGGGGGGCCTAGGCTAGCCTAGTTCTGACAAAGGAAAAGTCCCGGAAAAGGCCGCCCAAAAATCCAAAACAACGAACCACATGACCACCTGACCTGTGACCTGTACGACAGGGTTGCCAGATATGTTTCCATTGTTGGGGGCCAAACGAGCGACAGTTTCGGAGTTAAATTATTATATTATCATTTTGGAGCCAAATATTTCTGTAAAAGAATCATTCCTCCATTTTACTTAATTGGGACATTAAAATTAAAGCTGAAAAATTGTCAGTTTTTGGTCATCCAACTTTTTAATAAAGTTATTGTATCGGTTGTTACACACTCAGTGTCAAATGTAATCAATTTCCGTAATTATTGTTTGTCAGGTTGTAACGACCAACAACAAACATTGTTTAACTGATTTTACAATCTTATGTGATATTTTGCACCCTAGCTTCATGTTCACTTTCGTCTGACCACGTTGAAAAAATTCTAGCTCATTTACTAATTTACCTAGATCTATGCCCACGAAACTTTGCATGGCGCTTCAGCAGGCCAGCTAGGCTAATTTTACCAAACAAAAATATTTTTTTCCAAAAATCTTGATCCAA